AGCAATGATGCTTTTGTATCCATTCAGTAATTTGCTACAGACGTGATGGAATAGTTTCAGTATAGTGTGACATGGTAAATTATGGCAGGGTCTTACTGGTCAGTACTGTTTAGGTACTTCAGAGATCAAGTCAGTATTTCAAATAATCAAGGTTATCTTCATTTTTTTGTTGCTGCTGTTGTTCGGGGAGGGGAGGGTGGGCCTTTAAAAAAAAAAAATATTTTGAGGGGAGGCAAACTACAGTAAGTCCTAGCTTAACGTCGGGGTTACGTTCCTGAAAACGCAACGTATGCGAAACAATGCAAAGTGGATCAATTTTACCCTTAAGAAATAGATAAAATACGGGAGTTACATTCCTGAGCCTCCCTTTGCCCCATGAAAAAAGTTACATATACAAAAATTATTGCCATTTCTGTAGAGAATAGTATATAGAACTACAGTACTAAGTTTGTATCGGTACTCACCGATGGGCGGAGGTGGTAGAGCGAGTGTGTGGTGGGTAGTGGAGCGAAGGAGGAGGCTGGCGGAAGAGGAGGGTGTGAGTCACTGAGACTCTGCAGCTGCCTCCTCCTCCTGCTCTAATTGGGGTTTCTTCGCCTCTGGTTGCTCCTCCTCCTCCTGCTCTAATTGGGGTTTCTTCGCCTCTGGTTGCTCCTCCTCGGCTGCCAGCTGTTGTGAAGAAGCTCTTGCCATCCTGCAACGAAAATATGAATCCAGTGTTGACTGCTTGTTCTACTCTTCTTCTTCTTATAGATCTTGGTGTACCAACCAAGACTGTCCTCAATGCTGTGTTGAACCTTTGAGCTATGTTCTCTGTTTGGGTCGTCATCTAGAAGCATTTGCATTACTTGCTGGAACATGTTCAACGATTCAGCCAACCTCTTTGAAGTTAGCGTTCGCTGAGGTTCTTCGTCGTCGTCTTCGTTTTCAACGGGACTGTGTTCTGTTAATTGTTGCAGATCTTCGTTGGTGAGCTCTTCTGTATGGGATGCCAGGACGTCCTCAATATCCTCTGATTCCAGCTCATCAAAGCCTGCCTGTCTAGCCAAGCTGAGGATATCCCTATTTACAGCTATGACTAAGTCCGTGAATTCCGTAAAACTGTTGACGCACTTGGGCCACACACCATTCAGGCAACTTTTTTAAACCTCTTCCCATGCCTTGCCAATGTTGTCAATTGCATGAAGAATGTTCATGCTGTGCCATTATTCTCGGATACTTGGTTTATTATCTCCGTCTGTAGCCTTAAACAGTTGGGCCATGGTATGGTGTAAATAATATGTCTTGAATGCGGCGATGACGCCTTGGTCCATAGGCTGCATCAGTGCTGTTGTGTTGGGAGGCAGGAATACAACTTTTACCCTGTCATCAAGTCGTTGAGATTGGGAGGATGAGCTGGAGCATTGTCAAGGATCAGAAGAATTTTGAAGTTAAGGTTCTCCTTGGCACAGTATTTCTTTAGTACAGGGACGGCATATACGTTTAACCACTGGCTAAATATAGCACCGGTTATCCATGCCTTTTTGTTTGCCTTGTAAATGACAGGAAGGTGATCCTTAGAGTAACCTTTCAGGGCCCATGGGTTGGCAGAGCGAGAAATCAGCATAGGCTTCAGCTTGAAGTCACCGGCAGAGTTCGCACCAAGTAGCAGAGTCAAGCGGTCTTTTGCTGCTTTAAAACCTGGCGCTCTTTTCTCCTCCTTGGAGATATAGGTCCTCTCAGGCATCCTCTTCCAAAAGAGACCAGTCACATTCACATTGAAGACGTGCTTCGGTGAGTAGCCTCCTTGCTGGATAATCCGTTTGAATTCTGGTGGGAATGTCTCAGCAGCAACCGTATCTGAACTGGCAGCTTCACCAGTCATCTTAAAATTGTTGAAGCTATAACGATGCTTAAATCATTGAAACCATCCTTGGCTGGCAGTAAAGGTCTTCCTTCGATCCTTCACCCTCTTCTGCCTTTAAGTCGTCAAACAGGGATCTGGCCTTATGCTGGATAGCCATAAGGCTCACAGGGGCATTGCGTTGATTCTGGTCCTCTATCCACATTGCCAGCATCTTTTCCACCTTCTCTATCACAGTGCTTCTTGTACGAGTCGTCTTAGTAGCACTGAGAGAAGAACCACTTCCAGCAGTAACCTTAATCTTGTTAGCATTCGTCCAGATAGTACGCACCGTTGTGGGGGTTAAACCAAGCACAACGGCTATGATCACAGCGTGTTCCCCTTTTTCAAATCGGGTTAATACATCCATTTTTGTAGCAAGTGTAATGGTCTTATGTTGTCTCTTCACTACACTAACATCAGTAGCACTTGATGGGCACTTGGAAGCCATTTCGAATGGTTAGAGTACAGTTTTAGAGCAAAAACACTTAAGCATGCATGAATGATGTGAAGTCGTAACAGAGACTGGCTTGGTGTCACTTAGGGACGCTGTGACGTTCCGCTAGTGAGGGCAGCTCACCAAGCCGATGTAATGATTGATTGTCAGACCAAAGCTTACAGCCCAGAATTATTTCACATACAACAGCAAGTACACTGCAGACCTCATGGTACCACCACATTTCGGGTTGACACACCTTGGGTCAGGACCCAAGGGACCTGACCTCATCCGCTAATTACTTGAGTTAGCAGGTGACTTGACCTACAACCTCACCTAACCAAGACACCTGGGCAGGACCACACCTGCACACAGCTATCCAAATCTAACCAGTTTAGTGATAATTGGTTAGAGGTCAGAGGCCGGTTGGACCGGCCCCATATAAAGGCCCTACAGTCCCGCCCACCTTCATTCTGGATTCCATCCTTATTCTGGTCATACTGATTCTCATTCTGGTTGTTGTCATCTCTCTCCCGTTCGGGTCATCACTCGGTTCACTAAGCAGAGTCACGCACGTCCACTCCCCAGGTCGGGAGGGAGACTTCCCGACCAGACCACGGCATCGCCAGCTAAGCAGATTCTCCCATAGGAGGCAGCCCAGCCAGCACTCACTGGGCCTACGTCAGGGTACACGTGAGTCTTGTCAGAAGGTCCTAGGGTGAGTTACCTACTGTGGGAAGTGTATTCATTCAGGTGTGTCCGAGAGTCAGTGTCGAGTAACGTAAAACATAATGTGTTAGTACCCCGATATAATAGTGATATTAATGTGTCTATGTCATTGAGTGAATTAATAAATATCTGTATCGTAGAGGTGTTTAACAAGTTGTCCCTTTAAGAAGTAATATATGGGTATTGACATACGAGATAGGATAAGCGTATTGACGCTGAGTAAATAACATCCCGGCCACGCTACCAAGTTTCCTATCTTTACATTCCTACTCTCTACTCTTCTTACTTATACTGTATATGATATCTTCTTCTCTGTTTATCTTGTCTCATTATACCGAGAGCGTAGCGCGGCCAGACAAGAGCGGGTGATGCGCCACTGAAAGTAGTCCGTGATGACGCAAAACGACGTAGTATCGGATCACCGGGACGTAAAAAGAATTTTTGGTCTCTAACGTTCAGCGATGTAGTACCAAAACAATGTTAAGCGGGACGACGTTAAGCGAAGACTTACTGTACTTAAAATGTTTCATCATTTCTGTATGTATCAAGATTCTTACCTGGTTACCTGTTGTGTTGATAACAAATGTAGTTTTCCGTTTTTTATTGAAAGGTTAAGTGGATTAGGATCTGCCTGAGCTATAGACCTGACCTTTTTTGTGAATGTGTGTCACAGTTTTGATTTCTAGTGAACTTGGCATGTTGCCAAGTCAGACTGTCACTGTACCTACATCCACCTAGCCCTACCCCTTCCAGGCCAAGCTGTGAGCTGTGTTATTATTTTTCAATATGTAATTTCAGGAAATATATGTACATACTGTAATTTTTTCTTCTTTTTTTTCTTAGTCTGTTAAATGCTTGCACAATCGCTCATACAGAATGTGCAAAAAAAAATATCGTGAGGTCAAAAACATAAAAGGAATAAACATTTCTTATGTGTGCGAGAGTTAGCACACAGAGCGGAGGAGGGGGAAGGGGAGGGGCATGAGGGATCTTGACTTGTGTCCCATGTGTAGTGTAACAAATGCCAAGTGGCAAATCAATAATTTTCTGTTCTTTTATTTATTTATTTATTTATTTATTTATTTAATTATTTATTTATTTATTTATTTATTATTATTATTATTATTATTATTATTATTATTATTATTATTTCAATTTTTTCCTCACATTTACTGGTAAAGTATACATGCAACACAGTTCAGCCGGGCATTCACCCACCTGACTCAAGAGATGAGTGTGACTGCTGGCTGTGTATGCCATGACGTAATACAGCTCCTTCCCGACTTGCGATGGGGTTAGGGACCCAAATCCAGGTCATAAGTCGAAATGGTCGTAAGTCGAAAATGCTTAAATAATACATAGAAAATCTAAAATGGGCATCTCTTTTTCTTCTCAGCACCACAAAACTCTCACTTTTAAGCTTGTCAGCCATTTTAAAGTGAATTACAAACAAAAATTTTGTCAGTACACAGAGCAATCACTGACGTTGGGACTCGAAAATACTGTACATAATTGACAAAATTTTGGTACGACTGAGGCGGTCATATGTCCGGGTGGTCAAAAGTCGAGTAGGTCGTAAGTCGGGGAGGAGCTGTATCGGGGAGACGGAGACTGCGGCTGGCCACACTTACAGCTCACTGCCTCAATACATACGTTCACTTCCCACACACACACACACACACACACACCCATGCTCTTCATTTTTCTTATTTTATAGTTTTATACGAGTATTATATTTTCTTTACTTCTTAGCTACATTATAATACTATAATGATGTGCACTTGGAGCACTGAATCACCATTTTTTCTGACTTCCTCCTGAGTTTTTCTCAGTGAGTTCTAAACCAAATTTTGATCAATTATTAAACAAAAAAAAGGGTGTTAAAAATTTAATATCACTAAATCGAAATATCAGTAAGTGATTGAATGTTAAACGAGGGATGCTTGTACTTACATTCTGGCCAGTGCTGAATTTGATGTGAAGATCTAGTCCTTCTTTATTTATTACTCTGGTATCAAAAGGTGCATCACCCTGCATTAGTACAATATTAACTTGAATATTGTTACTAATAACCCTTACTGGCTCTTTCTTCTGATAATGCTGATAATCTGGCAGTTCCTCTTGGGTGCACTGGACTTTCACTCTTATGTCACAGTGAGCTACTTGCATCTGAAATTAAATGTGTTCGTATATATTATCTAAATTTACCATTTAATTAGTATCTGTAACAGTTTTATCTCCCATACTGAACAGCTTTCACAAGGTAATTCATGAATTAAAACCAAGAGTCAAAGGCTGTAAACAAGGTTATAATCCGTAGACATTACAGACTGAGATTAATTCATGAATTAATTATACTGTACTCATTAAAAACAAGTTCTGTCAGATCACACCCAATGCATCCCAATTGAATGCAAAATCAACTAGCTACTGTACTATACATATACACATCTGAAAATATGCAACAAACTCCTGCAACATGTTGAAAAATTCATCTTCTTCAAATCCTACAATGTGCTTGGCAAGCTCAACAATATTTCTTTGAATGTTTGGCATGGTTTCCTCAAAACCTTTAAAGGGACCACCAAGCTCTGACTGTTGTTTACTGGTCGTAAATACGAATGAAATAAGGACGTAAATTGAATTGGGTCCTAAATTAACTAGGGTTTTAAATATGAAAAGTTGTTGGTCGAACCGTTGTTATCAGAGGCTTTACTGTACTATGAACCAGTTGTAACTTTGTCGGATTCTTAAAATAACTGACCTTATGGAACCTCGTTCGTATCGGTGAGTGTTCATAAGTCAGACGTTCATAAGTAGGGGACTGTATTGTGTTAGATACAAGATAATAGAAATATTGGGATTTAAAAAAAAAACAGTCGCAACAGATAGGGTTAGGGGTGAGGTGTACAGTATATGTAATAGCTATCATCTTTAGTGATATTTAGTTTTAGCATTAATGTCCTTGCTCTCCCTATTGGCAAGGTTTTGTGTAGTATCATGTATATTAGTGCAGGGAAAATCAAGTTACAGTTGAGAAACCAAAATCTTGGTTTTTAACAATAATAACAATGACTTCTAAATCAGTGACCTGCACAACAGATATGGTCCTTCGTGTTCATAGAGGCAAGGAAGCTATGCAATATTATGTTTATCTGTGCATGGAAACTCATAATACATTTTAGAAACCAAAGTTTTAGCAATGATGACTTTGACCACTGACTTAGGAACCCTAAAATTAAGAGTGAGCTTTTTTTTTCCCTCAAGTAAAGGCACATGTTCAGTTCAGTACCATAGTAATTGGTGTAATGAAATGCAAGCAATGTTTCATAAATCAATGGAACAATTAAGTACTCCATTTTGCAAATGTTTTAAAACTTAACTTCTAACTGACAAATTATCACAGTTTACATAAAGGCTAAACCCATTAGTACATACAAAAGGCTTTCCAACTACGGTACTTACCTTTGCTTCAAAACATTCAACTCTTCCCAGCCTTTCCCAGCGGCGAAGTACTCCATACTCTGTCAACAATAACTCTTGATAAATAAGCTAGAAAATAAGTTTCTATGTACAGATGGGGAAAGTTCCAAGTGCTATACTCTCCCACAAATGTGAAACTCATCAGTGTGAGACCAGTGAATCACAAACCACCTGGTAGAGTCCATCATCTGGTAACAGTGGGTAGGGGGTTGGGTGGGAGGAGGTGGTGGAGTGTGCAGCATACAGTTGTCATGTTACTGATTTCTGCTGGTTAATTATGGATGTAGGTAGAAGGGGTTATTATGACTCAACGATATGTGTTTATATATTCCATAAACATATAAAAATATGTATAAATAAGTGAGAGAGGAAAGGAGAATATATTGTAAAATATTGAAGCTTTCCAAGCAGTGGTGACCTTAAAAATGTCAGTAGCCAATCACAATGCAGCCGAGGTATTGTCAGGATCACAGAAGTATTAAAGCTTATTATCAGCTCTGACTTCTTACAATGAATAGGCAGGAGGGATAACTAGCTTTGTAAGGAAAAATTATGAACCTTCATCTATCCATATTAGACAGAAACAATACTCGGCATTTTCCTCCTGTGCAAATCCAGTGACTACCACCCCCCTAACCCCTAGCCATCTACCTTCCATCACCTTCCCTCCTTACACAGTGTTACCAGAATAACGGAACTCTACCAGCTGCTTCGAGTTCATTGATATCTTATTTATAGGGCTCAAATTCATAGGTGGGTGTAGCATTTGGAAATTTCCTCCACTATACATGTGAAGAGGAGAGTGTATGAAATAAGGTGGTTCATGCAGTATACAGTATTCCCTATATTTAAAGTAAGAGTTATGCTTCTGGAATAGTTGTGGCTTCAAGTTATCTACCAGTACTCAGCTCACTTTACTTTCACTTCTCTAGATTCATAATGAATCTTATTTTTCACAAATATTTTGATAAGTAAAATTTTCACTATCTAATAACATTTCTATGGGATTTTTGAGTCAAATATGGAAACTTTATGGCCTTTTTCATACCGAAATGTAATACTGTATAGAGTTTCAAAATAACACACTGCATTAATTTTGTAACGACTTAACCCTTATGCCCCGGGTGACGTACTAAGACGCGCGCCATTTCCCGCCAGTGTTTAAATGCCCTGCGTGGGTTATCGGGTTCCAGTGCGACTATTTGCCTGTCACGTCACACGCTTGGCCACAGGGAAGCTTCCTGAACGTAATTACCTACTTTTGTTTGTTTCATTCCCATTGTTTGTCCATTTTATCATGATGTACCAAAGTAATATTGCTAAAAGTAGTGTAGTTGTATTGTAGTGTAGTATTACTGGAAAATAATGCTATGCCTATGTTATAAATGTATTTATTTGTGGAATTATTATTATTTTATTCATTACTTGCTCTACTAAACACAAAGACAGCCAGACAGCCTGGCGACCGACTGCGTGTGTTGCCAAGCACTTTTTATGAAAAATAATGCAAATAAAATATTCTAAATGAATCATTTATAGCAAACTAGTATTATGATCAGTAAATATATGCATTATTGGCCATCTCAGACACAAAGGCAAGCTAAAAATAGTTGTTAAGTGCGTAGGTGACCACGAGCTCAGCTGTCAAAACAACACTGTCCCCTTATAACCCTCCCCCCTTCCTCCCTCAGCACTGCCTGGCAAGTTTTCTTACTTATTTTTTATTGTTTTATAATTTAAAATGGTTCTAAATTATTTTGGGAAAAGTTTTGATTTTTCTTGATTTACTCCCACATGGGGGGTACTGCCAATGGCACCTCAACTTGGGGCTTAAGGGTTAATGACTCTTTCTAGGAATTGAACATGAAATCATAACACAGTGAAAGAGTTGGAAAGTAACTGTCCTGGCAGCAATTTCATTTCTACTGCTAAAGTATAAAAAGAAGTATACTGTAAGCACTAGCCATTGAAGGCCACTTGTAATCATAAATAACTCAATTTTGTTTTGTTTTCCCACAGAGAAAATACCCTTATTATCAGACCTAGCAAACCTATTGACTTTTCCTCTGGAGTCATCCTATTAGAACTAAAAGAGCAATTGTGGGATAACTGTCCTTATTATAATTTATATTCCAGTATTAATCCTTGGTTATAATTTTTTTTATTCACAGATATAAAGGTAATGTGAAACTAAATCCTAATATTCTCTTTGCAATACACTTGCCTTTTTCATCCATATCCCATGGAATAGAGCGATCTGCAAGAGAACATGGTGAAGCCAGATTTCCTTCTGTCTTTGGTACTTGACCATTCACGTCTTCTTCATGTGAATAGCGACGAAAAGCTGAGGAAAGAGTAAATTTATTGGAAGTTATAATCAGTATCATCACAATTTCTCATTTTATACCATGAAATAAAGGAGTTTTACCACAAAATAACAAATAATGGGAGCAATCTATGGTGATGATACATACTGAAAGCAGAGTATTGAATCATGATACAGTATATTGAGAGACTAATGTATTTACAAAAGTAGACTAATTAATCAGTCAAGTTTAAAATCTACATCTACTGGTTTAAAATGTCAGAATTAATAGTGAGTATTTACAGCTCTAAAATCAGTTTTAAGGACAAAAATAATCCCTCCTGAAAAAAATTCACATAACCTTATATCACGGCCTGTAAGGCTATGGGGTGTATAAGACTACCCCCAAAATTTCCATTTAAAAAGTATCGTTCGAGCTCTATTCACTACATAAGACTACCCCAAATGTGACACTTACCATTGGGAGCTTACTGACCCAGTAGTCCTTTACCAACCATCCCACTGACCAGTGCTGTTTACACATCCTTGGTTATTTAAAATAAGGCCAATTCACCTCAAGTAATGGCATCAAATGTTACCGGCTGGTGTAGTGTAAACACTAGTGACGCCACTTAAACGTCTGTTATTTAACTGGAACTAATGTCGGTGTCGAGTAAAATTTTTCCATTTACTTGAAATGGATTTACCGATTTATTTGTTTATTTATTTATTTATAGTAAACTGTAATATATTAAACACACTGCAAGTATTTTCTTTAATTTATAAACTTGCTTCGTGACAAAGGAAGGCTATACCCGGTAAGTGAAGTTTACCTGATACATTTATGGTTGCATCATCATTAAGGATCAAACTCCGAATCAGATGACGTGACTTCGGCTTTTTCATTCTCATCCTAAATTTAGCATGAAGAAAACTACCACTGTCGGTAGTTTCAAGAATTATTGCAGTCATTTGCTGAATATTTTTTGTAAAAAAATAAATTTTAAATTAATTATTTATGGGAGATAAGTATTATGATCAGATAATATACCAGTATGCATTACTGGCCACTTCAGACACAAAGACGGGCTAAAAATAGCCCAATCTCCCCCTGTTACAGTGGCCAATGGGAAGCATCTTGGTAATTAAATTTTGTTTGTTTATTTTCATTGTTTGTCTAATTTATCATGTTGTATCAAAGTAATATTACTAAAAGTTGTGTCAGTAGTAGGCAGCTAACAAACAGGGAGGTACTACCGCCTGGGAAGATAGTGGAAGCATAATGTGTTGTCTAATGGTAGACCCTGCCGCCATATGGCATCACAAAAATTGTGACCAAGTTCCAGGTTGCTGATCTGACTTTCTGCCTCATTTACACACAATTGCAGGGTCTCAATTGTTTCTCTTACTTTGACAACACAATGTACATATAGTGTATTGTTTCTCACTTTTGATCGTTTTTTCATTTTTGCATTTATTTATGGTTCTTTATTACTGTATTACTATTTTATTTAAAATTTTGAATTTTTTATTATAAATTTTATTTACTATGAATTATTATTATTATTATTATTATTATTATTATTATTATTATTATTATTATTATTATTAATATTATTATTATTATTATTACATTTTCGCCCCCCAGACCCCGATGTGGGTCAGTGACTTGTGCCCAGGTGGGCTAATCCCCGTAAAAAAAAAATATAATAATAATGCTATGATTGTGTTATAAATATATGCATTTGTGGAATTATTATTCTGATAATTATTTGTAAAACCTACGTGGTCTCCCAAGGTAAAGCCTGACGACAGTCTGCGTGGGTGTCGCTGAGAACTTCTTATGAAGAGTAATGCAAATAAAATAAAGTCTTCATGAATTATTTATGGGAAATACGTATTATGATCAGTAAAGAAATGCATTATTGGCCAACTCGGACACAAAGGCAAGCGGGAAAATGACCCCTAAAAGTGCGTAGTGACAGCGAGTGCTGGATGTAAAAAAACATTTTCCCTTTTTTGTTTCGTCACTGGCAAATGGCGGGCGGTGCGTGATGATAGCTGCGTTTATTACCAGGGTATGTTGTTATTTTACGGTATGTTAGACAGGTTTATAATACATTTGTATTATTTTAATATACCGGTAATCTTATTTTTAATCCAGCTTCCCAAACGTAAGTTTCAGTATAAAATAATTAGTGGTAGGACCGTGTGAGTGTTTTACGATGTTCTCCATCACCATTCTTGACACGCTAAACCACAATATGTAAGAAGTAAGAATTTTATACCTGGTATTTAAGACGACCCCTAATTTTGGGCTGATTTTTTTAAGGTTCAAATTCCGTCTTATAGGCCATGTTATACGGTAGCTGCAATACCTCATATCCTGTTACCTTCATAACCTCGCAAACCAACTGCTGTGCATTAAAGTGTTTTACTCTCATTACATAGTTCCAGCTTGTATGCTTGTTACTCTTGGACTGTAGCTACTGTATTTTATCATCTCATACTACATTGATGATAATGATGGACTTGAAAATCTGTGTAAAATTGTTTCATCATAGTACTGTAATAGTTGCACATATTTATTACTAAGCATGCAAAAATTTTCACTCAATAAAGCAAACACAGGGTTGGAAGGGAGAAAGGATATGAGTTTAATTGAAGCTAAATGAGAAGGAATGAGCAAGGAGAGGAATACCTTACAATGGACTGCTGAAATCTAAGGAGAGATGAGAGATAAGGCTACAGAGTTAAGAAAGGTATGGCCATTTTAGCAAAGCTTAGGAAGAAGCAATTATTCAAAGAGTACAGTATATATTAATCAGTCTCAGGGAACTGTTGGCTACATGAACGTCTAAAAAACTTAAATAGTAATAATAACTATCATATACATTGCTTGACAAGTTCTCCCAGTGTAACCACAGATATGGGCATTTGCAAAAACTTGATTAGTTGTTGCATCAGTAGAGATGACTCTGTTGCTTCATAAGTGGTATAATTTTCTGATGTAGCATGAAGTTTATAACCATTTGGTAGGGCAATTGCAAATGGTTCTGCTCCTGCAGGCAACTTTTCTCTGTAAAACAATAAGTTAAACATCAATAGTTTTATATTATATTTTCCATATTTCTAAGTCACATTAGAGTATTGTAATGATTTTTCACAACTTTAATAGTTTTATTACAAGTAACAATATACGAGTTAGCTGAGCTGGCGAGTCAGCTATGTAGTTTATAACCAAGGCCTTGGCTGTACCCGCCTCCATACACGTTCACTTCTCACACACACCTATGCTCTTCGTTTTCTTGTTTTATATTAGTAAGTCATCGCTTAACGTTGCCCCCGATAACATTGTTTCGTTATAACGTCGCTATACTTTAGATACCCATGATTTGGATAATTCCCGGCGATTCAGTGTAACGTTGTCACGGACTACTTTGTATGGCGCATCTCATCTTGACGCGCTACGCTCTCACGCGCGTAGCGTCACGGCGGTCCCCAGTCTTTGTCAGGCTACCACAGCGTTTGTGCGTGCGTAAGTGTTTTTGCTCTTAAAACTGTATTCTAACCATTCTAAATGGCTTCCAAGCGCCCATCAAGTGCTACTGATGCTAGTGTTGTGAAGAAGCAATGTAAGACCATTAGCCTTGCTATGAAAATGAAGGTTTTAAACCGTTTTGAGAAAGGCCTCAGTTACTCACTGCCCTCCTCCTCCGCTCCACTACCCACCAAACACCTCCATCCATCAGTGAGTACAATACAAAATGATTTATTGTATTTATATCTTGTATACTATTTTCTATATAAATGCCATTGAATTTCTCTATATATAATGTATTTTATGGGGCAAAGGGAGGCTGGGGAATGTAACTCCCGTATTTTATCTATTTCTTACGGGGAAAATTGATTCCGTTAACATTGTTTTCATTAACGTCGAGGTTTTACAAACAGTGTTCCCCTATTCATCAATCGCATTGACAAAACATACGTTGCAGCAGAAATGACTGTAATTGGTGTGAGGGCTGTGATGTCATTCAGGACGGTGGCCAGCATTCAGCTGGCTGGATCTCGCGAAACTCACGATATTTTACGCCAAATTTAAGACTTGGTTACATTAGGTAGTGCTCGAGAAATTAAAAAATGCAAAATGAAATCGCACGAAATATGAAATCTTACTGTACTTAAGTTTAGATAATTATTCGTAACCCCGTTCATCCGCAATAAATTTATTATTACCCATTTCCACCACCTGTATTCGCAATGGTTGCCCCGTTTATTCGCAAATTCTTACGAGCAAAAATTTTTAACTGCGCGCCTCAACCATAGCGTAGGACAGCGTGTGTGCCTATTCCTCCACCATACGCTCCCGCTCGCTTCAGTTTCACACGTGCTGGCGTGTTTTTTGTGTGATCTCGCAGTTGTGTTTTGTGTAATCTCGCAATGCCTAAGCGACCAGCTACTAAAACTCCCAGCAATGTTGTTAAGAGATCACGTGTGGCAGTTACGTTGGACGTGAAATTGGATATCGTAAAAAGACATGAACACAGAGAAGGAACAACAGTGATTGGGCGCGTGCACGGCTTGGCTCCCTCTACGGTGCATTCTATAGTTAAAAGCGCCGACAAGATCAAGGAGATGGCCGGGTCTGCGACGCCACTGACGGCTACGAAGGTGACGGGGTTCCGTGATGTCTAAATTTAAAACTTATGCACATAAACATTCAAACACTAACACACTCAAACATGTAAAGTACCCCTGCATACTGTACTTGTAAACATATATGTATGCCTAATAAACTCAAAGTGTTTGTTATTGATGTTTATTTGATATTATGCCCTTGTTTCTATATTTATTTTATGTTCTAAATGTGTTGAGTAAAACAAGTGTTAAAATCTGACGGCCGTGACCACCGCGATGCCCGTATCCCCCCTATTTACATTATTTCTTATGGGAGAAATTGCTTCGCTATTCGCAATTTCGACATACTGTACGCAGAGAGTTTCATGCCCGTAACTTTTGCTATAAGTGAGGCAGCCCTGTATTCTATTATTATTTTTTTTGTGATACTAAGATGAATATATAATATATTGCAATGCTTCTTTTGGCTATTATTGAAATTCAAAGGGAAACATTATAGACCAAAAATGGTATTGGCGAATTTTTCTTCCTTTGAATTTCTTGGTTAGAAGTAATTTCACAGTAAAGCTTTAAAATCTGCTGAGTTGGTTTGCAGTTTTACCTGTATCCAGTCATAGCAATAATTGCTTTTTCTTGTTTATTGTTAATTTAACTTTTTGTCTTTTACTTAGATGATGCTAGAAATAATAAGACACACTGATTTTGTTTTTTTGAGATGACATAGGTAACATGAGGATGTAATCTTAGTCAGTACAAATGGAGTACTGTACAGTAATTCAATGAAGCACTAATATCAAGCTGGTTTAAAACATAACTGACAATTGGAGCCAAATTCAGATATTTTTGCTCCATTAAAGTAGTTTGAAGACACCAATAAAATGATAGACTACCTGTACACTTGTCCGCGACATGCATCAATGATTTGGAACAGAAGTTCTGGCCTAGAATGCTGAAGGCTGTTAATGAAATTTGTTAATGCAATGCCATCTGCTAGATCAGAAGACGTCTTCACATTCTCCTCTCTGGGTATATTTTCATAGTCCATGTTAAGAGGTTTCATGATGTCAGTTTCACTACCAGTATGTATATTATCCACAGGCACCATAAAGTCAATTCCGTCACAGCTGAAACCATGTCCAGCAAAATAAAACACAACTGTGGAAGAAATCAAAATCAAAAGAAGTAAATAAAATCCTACAGGTGTTGTTTACGATATACAGGTACAATATTTTAAGTGCAATACAGGTGTTCCTCTACTTAAGAACGTTCAACTTACAAACTTTCAGAGATACAAACATTATCACTGAGGGGGGTTACCTGCCAGAACAGGTGTTTAATGGGGATGAGACTGGATTATTTTGAAGAAAATTATAGATAGAACAAACATTACCAAAGAGGAGAAGAGTGAGACAGGTTTTAAGGCTGTATTAAAGGGTATAGCTGTACTAAATATCCATAATCTTTTAATTTTTTACAATATGTTTGGTATCTACAAGATTGAAGTTGGACTTACAAACAAGCCTCAAGAACGTAACTCGTCTATTGGCAACCTTCCATAAAATTTTTAGAGTTCTACGTGCAATAATGCTGTGAGAGTAAATGATCAGGAAATTGAGGAATTGAAGGTGAAAGTAGGGGTTTATGAGGGGAACTGCATGCAATCAAAAGAATGGAACCCGACAAGACTCAGTTTGCCTCTTCACTTCCAACTTTGACTTTGTGGGATCTCATTGCATTTGCTGGCCACTTTCCTAGCTTCAGTAAAAGGGTAATTGTTTGGGAAATGCTAGAAATTGCTGGAGAGTTCTGTCAAAGCTTAGAACTGTATTTAAAAGATTCTGTTGTCTTGTAAACAATTTCACTGCAATATGCAATAGCCAGTCAAACCATTTAGAACATATATGTTGTTCCATTTTCTTAAATATAATGGGTTATATATAGTGTCTCCCCTTAAAAAATCCAAATACAATATGCCTGTAAATAAAAAATATATATATACCGTACCCTATATTGTAAATTAAAAAAACTACCATAAATTAAAAAGGGTGAAAATTTTAAGTACCGTATATACACGTCTATAATTCTACCTCGTTTATAGGTCAACCCTGATTTTTTTACCAAGAAATCATTAATTTATGATATGCCTCGTTTTCAGATCAACCCAAGTTTTTGAGGATAATGGAACAACAAAACCTTCAGTAAAAATACTCTACGTCCTATAAACTGAAACGCAGATAGTTTCAACAAAAATATTGTATATTTCCATTCAAGTCAATTAGGAGGGAATATTTTTGTAATAAAAGTTTTTTTAACTTAAAACCATTCGAAAAGCGATTATGGTAACATCTTTTGAACAAAGAAAGAAAGCGAAAGTCGATTGTTTTCGTCATGGTTTTATCCCACTTTCCACTGTAATACATACATCATTTCAGCAAAAATATTACATTTCCGTGAATGTATTATATCAAGCACAGTATGAATAGAATATCATAGTAATGTAACAGTATTTTAACCAAAAACTATTAAAAAAAAACGAGTAACATCTCTTGAACATCGGAAGGTTAGGTAAAGACTTTTGTTTTCGTCATGTATTTTATCCTATTTTACATCGAAAAACATCATGTTTCAGCAAAACTACTATTTATTTCTGAGAATATATTCATTCACGCACAGTTTAGGTAAAATATACTTGTGATGTAACAGTTTTTGAACTGAAAACGATTCGAAAAACACGTGTACCGTCTAGCTGATACGGCAGAGCCCTGGACGCAGAAGCTTTGTTTTTGCATCGGCCCTTCTTAAGCAGCCTTTAATATTCGCGGATGTTGAAATTGTGTTTACCGGTATATTCTTATTTTCTAGCTTCTTATTTTCCAGAAATATGACAAGTTTGTATATAATACAATGTTACGGTACTTTTAATTTACAAGTACAGGTAGTCCCTGACTTAAAACTGCTTGGACTTACGTCCACCGGTACTTACGACCTGCTCTGACCTTACGACCGTCGGGACATACGACCGCAGCAGTCGTGACCAAAAATATTTTCAAATGATGCACGCATTTTCTATACTGAAACGTTTCTGTCCCGGGCGAGAGGCGAGAGCGTGGGTGCACTCACTCAGTAGAGCGCTTAGTTGGTGTTTGGCTATCGTATCCTATATACTGATCGCGCTGTGAACTTTCATTAGTATCGTATTTAATTGACTTTATAATGACTGGAAAGCATAAAAGTGAGAGTGCTGGTGGTGCTCCAAAGAAAAGGAGACAGGCAATTACTTTTGAGATGAAAATGAAGATAATAACTCAGCATGAGAATGGAAAGACTGTAGCAACAATCTCACGTGACTTAGGTTTCTCACACTCGACCATATCCACTATTCTGAAGGACAAGGAACGTATTCGTGATGTAGTGAAAGGAACAACACCAATAAAGGGAACTATAATATCAAAGAGAGACAAGGTCCTATTCACGATATGGAAAAATTATTGGTGATATGGATAGAAGACCAGATACAGAAGCGGGTACCCTTAAGCCTTCTAACCATACAGGCTAAAGCAAGAAGCCTATTCCAAAGCCTGAAGGAGCAGGCAGGAGATGAATGTGATCAAACCTATACAGGAAGTCATGGGTGGTTTGATAGATTTAAAAAACGCTACAGTCTACACAGTGTTAAGGTGAGTGGAGAAGCAGCTAGTGCCGATGTTGGTGCTGCCGAAGCTTTTAAGGAGGAGTTAGATGAAGTGATTGTGGAAGGGAATTATTTGCCTGAGCAAATATTCAATGTGGATGAGACTGGATTATTGTGGAAGCGCATGCCTAAGCGGACATACAGTTTCAAAGGAGTTAATGAAAATGAAGTTATTTCGGATATTAGTAACAAGATAGTGGAGTTAGGTAAACAGCTGGAGTTAGAAATTGATAATGAAGATGTTGGACAGTTGGTTGAAAGTGTAGCAGAAGAGTTCAGTAACGAGGATCTTATTGAACTAGATGCACAGAAAATTGCAGAGGAAGAGAGACAAAATGTAGAAGAAGAACCTGCACCCCCCAAAAAGTTTTCAGTGAAACAAATGACAGGCATTTGCTACAATTAATAAAGGAATGCAAATGTTTGATGGCATGGATCAAAATTATGAGCGTTATGCCAAAGTTGACAGAATGATCCAAGATGCACTTGCTTGCTACAGAGAAATTTATAATGAAAAGAAAAACAAACTGTGCAGTCTAAATTGGACATCTATTTTAAGAAGTCCCCCAGTGCTGCCTCTTCACTCCCTCAAGATGATCCAATACCTTCAACCAGCAAGTTTCCACAGTACTGAAACCTGTCTGAAGAAAGTGACAATGATGACCCACCCAGCCCTGTCTCCTCCTCTGCTTCATCCAATTAATATAGTCTCCATGTATCCTGTAAATAGAAAATTATGGGGCCCCATGTGCATTCAGCTGACTACATTAAAGGTAAGTGCTCAGTCACACTATCCATTCCTCATTATTTATTACTTTTACTGTACTGTATTTCATTGTAGATTATTTATTTTTTTTTTATCAATGTCGGACTTACGACCTGGATTTGGATCCCTATCCCAGTCGTAAGTCGGGGAGCACCTGTATTAATTTTTAAAAATACATAAGACACCAAACAAATACCAGTACGGCTATTTGCGTGACTCTCCCGCCAAAAAAGACCAAATAGCTGGTACTCTCTCCCTCAGCATTTTAGTGTAAAGTGTCGTAATAATGGCAAACAATTTGCCTTCGGCACTCGGTGTTTCAGGCACGGCGACCCTCAGTTTATAGGACGTAGAGTGTTTTTAGTGAAGGTTTTGCTGTTCCATTACCCTCAAAAACTTGGGTCGACCTATAAAGGAGGCATATCATAAATTAATGATTTCTTGGTAAAAAAATCAGGGTCGACCTATAAACGAGGTAGAATTATAGAGGAGTATATACAATAATAATAATAATAATAATAATAATAATAATAATAATAATAATAATAAGGAACTATAAAGAAATACAAAAATTAAAAAAAAATAAAAAGTGAGAAACAATATACAATATGTATGTTGTGTTGTCAATAGTAAGATAAACAATTGAGACCTTGTAATTATGTGTAAATGAAGCAGAAAGTCAAATGAGCAACCTGGGACTTGGTCACAATTTTTGTGATGCCCATTGCCATATGGCAGCAGGGTCTACCATTAGCCAACACATCATGCTTCCAATATCTTCCCAGGCAGTAGTACCTCCCTGTTTGACAGCTGCCTACTATGGTTGTGTACGCCTCCTATATAAGTCCCTGTATTTAATGTTATTCATGAAACAATTATGGAAAATGGCTGTTAACTGTTAATGATAATGATGAAATACACAATGAATTTCCTTTTATTTTTATATCTTACCATAATCTCCTTCTTGAACATAAGTTGAGAAATGATGAAAAGCATTAAAAAAATCAGCTTTCTCCAAGTTGCTGTACATGATAATGCGAAACTGAAGTTTTGTGAGTTCTCTTGCTAATAGTTTCACATCACTTAATGGTGCATACAATTCTTTGTCCTCTGTCTTGTAGTCTGAATTTGCCACAAGCAATGCCCACTTATTGCGTGCTGAAAACCAGTGAAGAGGTAAATATAATATTCATTACTTTTCAAATGTTTCAAGCAATTATATACTCATGTCATCTTTAAACTGATTATGTCCATTCCTCAGTTTCAACTACCTCATCATACAGGGAATTCCATAAGATCTTAAAATGCATACGGTAGTCCAACATTAACAGTGCCCGGGTGGGCTAATTCCCATAAAAAATATAAATAAATCAACAGATGAGCAGATGCTTCAGACTAGTATTGTACAATGCAACAGCTAGAAAAGACAGGGTCCAAGAGTTTTGTTTTCTATAGGGAAAATATGAGCATGGTGATGCATATATGATGTGGCAGTTTATGGGTAATAATAACTCCTGATTTTCAAGGAATGGAAAATTTTCTGGGCCATCTACAACTCCAATTATAGGTTGAAGAAGCTGTTTAACCCCTTCATTATGGGGATGCCACTTATAATATTCTATTTGGCTAATGCCAGACAATATTATTCAGCTCAGAGGGGAAGCCACACACAAGGGGTTAACAGCTCTTAGCTTACCAAGGCATCAAATGGGTTCTGACACCAGAGATTGAGTGCAATGTTTGAACACGATTTATGTAAAGAGTTTATAAACATAAAAACCACTATTGAAAATGACTAATCCCTTATCCTAGAATTTTTTTTATATCATACCAGTTAGTGTTTCCTCTTGTGTCTGCTTGACTTGGATTACTATATCGTCAGATGAAACTCTGCCTGTGGGTGATGCAGCCTCAAACCTGAATAAGAGTGGCTTCCATTCTTCTCTCTGCATGTTTTCTTTAGTAGTAGAGTAAAACAAATCACACGTGTGTATATTATCCGAAAGTGATTTTGACTCTATTATTCCGTGAAAACTTCCAGCACCTGAAAGAATTTTATAAACTAAGTTATATAATTATAAGGTAAGCAGTTGCCTAACAATGGTTAGTTCCTGGCAGTATATTATCATATAAAGCAGCAAAAAACTATAGGCCAATCAGCCTAATATCACATATCTGTAATACTCTTTGATCAAATATTAAGGAATTGTTATTGTTTAAAACCTGACAGAGGAAAGTCATTAATGTATTACAGCATTGCAATGATAGAAAATTTCAAGAAATGGTCACCAGCTACACAGGCAAAGGACTACCAGTTGGTGTGTTTGTATTGGACAGTACAGGGATTTCTCTAAAGCCTTTGACAAAGTCCCACATATGCAGCTAGTCTCAAACATCTATGCACATGTCATCACATGAAAAATATTGGGGTGGATTAAACTTTAGCTCAAGGACAGACAAAAAGAGTGATTACAAATGTGTAAAATCAAGAGTGTAAACAGATTCTTGGTGAAAGAAGTAAAAGGTTTTCTCGGAAGTTTATTTATTTACCCATAAGAACATGATAATGGTCAACTTATTACTTCAGGTTGCCACAAAAAGTGAAAGTGTATTTTTCAGTACACAATACAGTGCTGTACAGTGTACTGTTTTCATGTGTCCACTGTTGGTCTTTAACAACTTCTGTTGCATCTTGCTTTAATTTATTGTGCACGACATGTGCAATTTTCACAGGAATTGTACATTAAAACAACATATCAACTTACAAAAATAACAGTCAAGGGATCTTTACCTAGTAGACTCTGTGTGTGTGCTTCATATTTGTTCCTTAGAAATAGGCATTAGATCGATAATAAAACCTTTAGTGTTGAAATCTTGAGTTGTTATTATGCATTAGAATCACATAGATCTACAGTACAATTAGTTCGACAAATACGAAACTTGCATCATAAAACAAACTAATCACTGACTGTGACAATCTTACTTGCCAACCCTGTCTATACTTGGTGGCTGAAGCTTCTTATCTAAAAAATCCATGAAGGTTGGAAATGATGTGCTGAAAAAATTGGCTCATTAAAAGTAGATAAGTAAGTGTTGCTTTTCTGATTTTAGATCCAGGAAAGAAAGTATAGATCTGGGAAACCTATCATTATGACTTATGGGTTTTATCAAGATGCAGTAACTCATTTAATGTTCTGAACTTCTGACTGAGATGACCAATTGACCTGTTACAGGACACCACTGTATTGCTGGATACCATATTAGGTTCCTAATGTATCAAAGTGAGTGTATCTTTTAAAAGAATTATATTTTTCACATGAATCATTGCCAGTTATTGAACTATTGTACATGATGCCGCCCATGAACTCTTTGTCATATGGAGTTCAGTGTGATAGGCAATCTCTTGCATCCCTCAAAAATACCTATACACCATATGGAATTAAAAAATATCAGCATAGGCCAAAGAGGAAAGCATTTCTATATTTGCCCTAGATTTTTCTTGCATCCTCTCTCTTCCGCATCAAAGACAAATTCTTGAATCTTTTCACTCAAATAACCAAAGCCTAGTTTTACTCTTACCAGATATGCTAAATAAAATCATTATCTGTGCTGTAATTACTGAACACATACAGAAGAGATTTATAAATAAAAGTTTTAAGGTACTGTACAGTATTACTTGAATTTTTCTTTGCCTTCTTTTTTCAATATTTTTGCTAACATAATTTTTACCTCACCAACTGGGTTAACTGTAAGACAGAAATTTTGGAATTAAATTAAACTTGCAGAATAAATTGCTTGTAATACTTACTGTCTAAAGGTTTGTTGTTAACAAAACAGATAAATTTTACTTCATTTCTACAATGAACTTCAAAAGAAAGATTGATAAATCTATCAAGACCAAATTTTGACTTTCTCCTTGGTTGTTTGGTGATTGTTGGAGGGATTGGTGGAACAACCTGTCAAAGGAAATGATAAAATTTATTAGCTAGAATAATTTTACCTCTATTTTATTAAATATGTCTCTAGCCTTATATCTTTGTATTTTGTAACTGTAATTTTCTTATTCACTTCGATGAATATACAGTACTGTAGATTCATCTCAGTTATTTTAGTATGGTAAGAAAATATAACTACATCCATATATGTGCAAGTAAAACGTTTCTCTATTTTACAAGAACATTGCATGTGAATAACATTTTGCCTTTCTTCAGATACTGTTGTCCAAAATTTTCAGTTTCTCTTTACAGTAAAAGGATAATGCCAGGAGAGAGTACTGTATCTTTGTAAGTAATACCAACAGGTTTAAGTTCGATATAAATTAATTCAAGTACTGTACTGTATTTTCACATAAAATTTGATGGTCTGATTTTGAAATCTTATTTTTCAGTGAAGCCCAAAGGCAGGCAGCAGTTTTTTCATTACATATCTTATTTAGGGACTTTGGTTCCTTGTGTCTGACCCCCCATGGCAGCCGGGACTGATCTATAAAATTACCAACCTCCGCTAAGAGGTAGAATAAACATGAAGGTTACCCTCTAACCGCAGGTCTAAAAGAGCATGTGCTTATCTGGGCCATATGTTCCCCATCAGCCATAGGCCATCTGTGTGATTTCAAGGCCAACCTACCTTACTGGATTTAGTTCCCAGCTGAATATTCACAAATTCATGCAATGATTAAGTGTATTCAAGTTGCCTGGCTAGGGACTGTGCAAGGAAATGGGACTTCAGGATCAATTCCTCATTTCTATTATACACTCTGAAAAGTGTTTTGATAGCTAGCAAGATAATGGGAGGAAGAAGTACTACAAAGGTAGAAAATACTCCCCAGCAAATTTACCTAAACCGCACAGTATTAAAAGGGTTTTTACAAGCTCATTTGATCCATGTTACTGAACCCTTGTCAACTAGTGTAATCATTTCTTGTGCAAGTGTCTTTGTTTTGTTGATATTTAGGTGACTAGGCGCGAACTAATTTGTCTTCCCAGCAGTAATGAGCCCGTGCTCTGCTGCGGCGCTTTTCCCCGGGCTTGTGGCAGTTTCAGTTTCAGCACGATGCTTGGAGGTTGTCTCCGGTCTTATATGGATGTAATTTGCGAATTTAGGGATAAAGACAAAGAGACCCTTCAATTGTTCAAAGACCACAGCATTGTTCCTGGTTGATGATTTTGTTACCTGAGTGACAATTGGCCAACAAGCTCTTGCAACGCCATCTACCTTTGGACAAGAGAACTGAATTTACAGGGTAAACACCAAAGTTAAGGACTGCTTACAGGCCATGTAAGTCAATTTTGAGTATGGGAAGTTTACAGGACTGTAAGGAGTCTGAAAGTTATGGGACTGTATCTCTGCTACTGTACGTACATGTAACTGATGAGGTGTTTTGACTATGCGGCCCCAGGTAAGTGTGGAAAGAGTACAGTTTGTAACATTATTGGTCCCTACAGTATGTGAACATCTGAAGTCTTACTGTACCAACTTACAGTGACTGTGGCTACTTCTGATTTACAGCTTCCAAGGTCATTCCAAACTTCAAAGAAGAATTTGTATGCACCAGGTACTAGAGAGTCCTCCCTTGGAATCTGTGTGGAGGTAGAAAAAAAGAAATGACCATAAGTTTTTTTTTATTTTTTTTATTTAACATCACAGTAATAACTCCTGTAATAAATCTTGATACTGTAATGAACTACAACAGCTCTTTCCCAAATAAAGTTACATGTATATACACTCTTTGGATAGTTATTACAGGTATTATGGATTCTAAATAAATTGCCACAATACTGATAATGATTTTGCACAAGTCCCTAAACACTATCCTGAAATTCACTTCCATTCTAAATATGTCAATTGATCTCTTTTTTAAAAGGCAAATGTAATTTTTATCATATAAATGTGAAAAAAATACAAACAGTTTACTGGTAACACACACACACACAAACCAAATTATGAAGCAAAGCAGGAGAGGACAGGGAAGGAGAGTAGGGAAATTCAGGCGAGATGGAAGGAGAAGGCTGTAAAGAATGTACAGTACCAATATTTTATTTCCATAATAACTTCAGATAGATTTATCAGTCTCTGGTATGATTCATTTATACATTGGGGCATTATTATCTCTTAGTTCTGTGGACATACCTTGTATGGTTGAGACCAGAGTCCTACAGACATACTCAGTATGAGATGATGAGATATGTCTTGATTTCTCCTGCCCCATTTCAAATATCTTGGAGCAGCCATGAGGAATAGAATATACCACCAGCAGTAATAACTCACCCTCAGAAATTTCACGAAACAGCTGATCATTTACCTTACAAACATCATGGTAGAAGGATGTTTATCAGACCACACATCTGGTTGCCTCAAGAATAATACCTACCAGTATGTATTTAGTAGAAGTAAACAAAATTGCAAATATAAATGTGCAGTACATGGGGAGTAGTGATACTGAGGAATATGATGATAATAAAGTTTATCTTGAGTTTATAAACAACATGTCAGCACGGGGAAATGTAAGGAAGATGTAGTGGCCCAAACTATTATACTGCCAAGAAAAAAAAAAGAAACTGCGGCTGCTAAAAAAGATTTATTTTCTTATTTTTTTATGTTTTATGGTCATTAAAATTATGTTTAGTTACTTTATAAGGTAAAATTTATTAATTTTTTAAACCTTAAGCTATGGGGGATGCAAAAATAAACCAAGACTAAGACTGAATGAGTTACACGAAAGACAGTTGGGTGGAGTATGCCCTCCCAGCAGATACCCAAGACTTACAGGAGTCCACCAACCACCTATCAACTCACACTCCTGTACCATCTTGGCAAGAGTGGGTGAGAGGCCAGCACTACAGTAGGGTTTTCCAATAATGCAAGTTAGAACCTGCCAGGACCAGCATTATCAGGGGCAGATCCAGGAATATTAAAAGGGGGAATGTTGAAGAAGTTGTGGGTGGGAGAACATGGCGAGCGCATTAGGAGATATTCTGAAGTCAATAGTAAATACAGGTTGACAACCCTTTATCCGAAATTCCGAAAACCGAAAAGCTCTAAAAACCGAAAGTTTTTTTGTGGGGCAATTTTTTTTTTTTTTTTTAAACAGGGATTAGCCCACCCGGGCATAAATCACTGACTCACATTGGGGCCTGGTGGGCGAAAATGTAATACTTGTAGTAATAATAATAATAATTATAATAATAATAATTATTCATAGTAAATAAGATTTTTAAATAAAATACTGTACACCAAAATAAAATAAACAATAATAATAATAGTGATAATAAAATATAATAATAACAGTAATAATAAAATATAATAAAATTAATAATAATAATAATAAAATATAATAAAATTATTAATAAGAATAATAACAATAATACTATAATAAAATAATAATAACAATAAAGAAATACAAGAATGAAAAAAAGATCAAAAGTGAGAAATGCGACCTAGACCAATGAATTATTATTACAGTTTTCTATGACTGGTGGCTCACTGTTTAAATTGTATGCAGTGGTTTTCAACCACATACGCATAATTAACTATCATTATCCAGAATTAAGGTAGTAATTAGGGGTGTCATGTCATTATGTGGCGCATCATGCCGTGAAGCATTGGGGAACTCCACTGGACACATTCTCCCATTACACTTCCTGTTAAGAAATGTTCATAGTGGCTAGGAATGCTGGTATGTGGGTGTGGTATGATTGTCAGGAAATGCTTGAAACATGACTAGCAATGGCCCTACATAAAGGTTACAACTCCATATTTCATCACTCAACAACAAGTGAACTCTTTCTCTCTCTGACTCTTCATACTTTACTCCCTTTTCTTGTCTGTAACTCACCTCACCTTTGTCCTTCAGTTGTGTTTCACAGTGAACAAATGAAGATAAAATAGCTAAATATACTTAAAAGACTTCTTTTTGGCCACTTAAATAATCTTACAAACCATCCTGTTGAGAATAAATTACAGTTTATTATTTTACAAAGATAAACAAAGCAAAACAGTTGCTAATTCACTTACTTTGAGTATGGGTTGAGAAGTCACTTTAAATACTTCATTGTTTTTAAACCATCTGTAATTGTTTGGTTCTGGGTAGCCAATCACTGCACATGTTAACACTAGCTGTATTACACAAAATAAAAAAAAGGTACACCACATTATTGCTTTCACCAACAAGGTAGGATTTATTCAAAGTTTACAATTAAGTATGGTTGATTTTCTAAAGTAGGTGTATAGAGCAAATATATTTCACCAAATGAACAACCTATTTTCAACAACTACAGGTACCCATTACTCACCTCCTCACCTGCATAAAACTTCATATCAGAAAGATTCTCCGAAATCATAGGATTCATTCTTTCCACATTCAAGGTAACTTTGTCTGAACAAAGCTCTCTCACATTTCCCTTCAAGATTTGCCTCACTTTACAAAAGTATTCACCCTTATCTTGGATTCTGTTAAAAAACAAATCATAAAACTGCTTAGGGATATGTTATCAGCTTCTGATACTGTACCTTATTTTCCCTTTAAAGCTGTAAAAATATTTAACCTCTGGTGTTTGCATCACTAAATACACAATAGGTTTGCTATGCCATCTTAATAATAGCACTTAACCCTTACAGTCAGAGGGTATACTTTGGCACATCCTAGAACACCAAGCAGTACACCAGAGGATGTACCAGGTATGTCCTAGTGAAATACAACTCTGTGTCATTGGTGGAACTCTGTGATATCCCTAGTCATATTACCATGACACTCTGATATCTCAATATTTGTATGACCACTGATATTACTTTTTCATGTGTGTTCGGGTGAGTATTGAGGTGGTGTGGGGGGTAACCATGGTGGTGGTTGTGTGTAGGACAATTAAAAATGTGGTGAGAAGGGTGAGTATTAACCCCCTCCCATGTACGCAATAAGTTTTTAAGTTTCTGTAACCACAGCAAAAGTCATATGGGACCACTCATGTGAGGTCTAGTCATCTTCATTCTGCAGCCAATTTATCCCACAAGATTTAATATTATTTATTTATTTTTTGCGTGATTTATATATCACTGACTTTGTTATTCTTTTGGCTTTAACATAAACAGAAAAAAAATAAGAAGAGATTAACACTACATTTTTTCACTCCGAATAAAGAAAAAATAATTACGTATTAGTGTTCCCAACATCATATCTCATATATTTTCTCATAAACCTACCAAGGTATTATACAATTATAGAAGAGGAATTTTATAAACTTTCCAACGGTGGTTTTGGAATTTTAATGCAACTAATTATGGGGAGGAATGGAGAGGAAATAAAGACAAATGTGACCTACCAGCACGGCTGACGGGAGGAAACTGATCGACAGCAGAACTCCACCAGCATTTTGGTACTTTCTGGAAGTTTCACTTGCAAGATCATGTATTCTTCTATGATGCAATTATCTTTAAAACTATTTTTTGGCAAATTTTTCAATTTTAATAATGTGATTTGCATCGCCGATGCAAAAAGTGCTTCCCAATGATTTGACGCAATTTGTGTCATGGTGTGCGAGAGGGTTAAGATGATGTATCGGTGATTATGGTGGTGTATCGGGGATGATTATGGTATGTGAGAATGACTGTTGTAATACAGTAACTGGATATCAGATTATATAACATAGGCCTATCTAACATGAAGCCTCTTCATCTTATTACTTCATCAATATTAGCTGTATCTCTTTCTTACTTGACCTTTTCACTGTCCAGTCTCCAGTTGTCTGTCATAAATCTTCATTCCCTATCTCTCACCTGTCTCCTGCTTCACAATGCCTATACTATATTAGTGTGCTCTCCAAGGGCTTATAAAATCTACACAATCTTGTTCCTTCTTCATTACTTTCTCTAAAAACCTCTAGAACTCCCACTGTACTTTGTAAGCTGTCCATTTTAACTGCTCTCAGTCTTGGTTTAACAAAACTTTTGAAGCAATCTTTCCTTGGACACTCTACACTCACACTATTCCTAATTATTAATGTTCTCAGGGCTTATTATTTTTTTCCTTGTACTGTAAAACTTTATTATTAACTACTCTTTTCCCTGTTAATTTTAATTATTCAGTCCAAACACCTAAATACAGTATAAAAACAATGTCACGCTCTTCTCCATCCACAATGAAATGTTAACTCAACAATGTTTATATGTTATCAAAAATAAAATTCACAACAAATATCATATACAACACAACTAAACTGTACACATATGCATGGAAGGACGCTTACTTGAATTTATCTATTGTCAGTGAACAAGTAGTCTGTCCATCCAGAGGGTTATCACTATCCATGAAGTACCACTGAAACTCTGGGTATGGAGATCCATCAACATCAACATTAATGGTAATTGATTTACCAAGTTTGACTTCTTTGCAACTGTACTCTGGAGGCTTTATCATCACAGGAACTATAATCAGAGAATTTAGATTAAATTTATGAACTGCAAAATATATAATGGTATGGTGATTATTTTTTCTTAAAATTTATTCCTGTTTAACAAGGGATGGCCAGAAACAAATGCAAATCCTGTACTCATATTCATTTCTTTATCATTCACTCTTTCTTACTGCAGCAGAAGATGCATTCTATGGTATTCCTCTTCCACAATAAACCCTGTCTGGTTTACCCATGTAGTTCCATGTAGTTCCACTCTCCCTCCTACTATCCACCACTGAACTGTATTTTTTGTTTTGTTTTACCAATCCTTCATTTGTTATTATCTTAATAAGTCCATGCAGTACCATTTGCCTACACTTCATTTTCCTATCTTCCTACACATAAATCTCACACATATAATTTGACCCTTTTCATTTGCCCCTTCCTCTTATATCCCATTTCCAAGCATTGCAACTATAGGTGTATTCTAGGTTGGCCCAAAATGCATATGTAGTTATGCTCCCAGGATCCGCCTCTTGATGATCACCAAGAGCACGCCAACAGCGCTGCTAGACTCTTTCTCGGGGGAAAGTTATTGTACGTCTCAATCAAGAGCGGACCCTGCTGCGTGTCTTGTGAGATCTGTCTGGAGCCGCCAGCGTCCATGTTTTGGCTACATCCGATTTTGTGAATTTATTTATTTATATTTTTATATATATTTTTTTTAACAAGGTTTACTGAACATAGTAAATGAAAACTGCAATTATTTCTGGAGATTAAGTGAGTAGTGGGATAATATTTAAGGACCCTAAAATATATTCCCATAGGTGTAACTAAATCCAGTTCACAAGCAACAATCTGAAGGGTGTTTAAGATCATAACTTCGTGGACTGGGTGGGATCTACAGTACAGTACTGTATTCAATCTTTATACACCTTAGTAATCATTTTATGTTTTTCTGCTAACTGTTACATCATTTCATGCTATATGGGTCTCAGGTGAAAGAAGGACCTCAACAATCTGCTTACCGGTAAATCAAATACTCTGTACATGTATCTGCACAGAGCCAAATAAAAAGGCATATGTGGATATTAAAGGTTGTACTATACACATAACTTACCATTAGTTACAAGTTCATTGAGGATATCATAAAGCTCACAAAGTCCCAGCAGAATTTGTAGATGTTCCACAGTGAAATCTTGATATATCAGCTTCCTGAACAGGGCCTGGCCTGGATTTTGTAATATTTCTTGATGGCTGAAAGAAATTGAAATATTTAATCTTCATATAAAGAATACTGTGTGTGCATATGCATATTTGCTATTGTTTCTGGCAAACTGATATGAGAAAAAAACAAAAATTAAACATACTTGAGGTTTAGAATTTTGAGTACAGGAATTAGTATATAATCTTTTGTATTGAAAAGCAAGAATGTTTTGTATGAATTTCACCAAGGATTTTTTTCTTGGTATGCCCAATGCTTGCCTAGTACAGATATCTCATCAAATACTGTACCAGCATGAACCGAGTAGGATTTATAACAATATCCATTCTTGCTTTAATAAAGATCTGCCCAGGTGAGGAAGTGAAATGCAAGCCATACTGAAAAAATTAATTACCCACCTGCTTTTTTTCCAGTTTTATGGATTTCTGGGGTAAATTTGGGTGTTCTTGAATAACTGGGTTTTTTGTGCATTTTTTAAATATAATTAATATACAGTACATAATGAATTAGTAATTCTATTATTTCAAATAATAATGACTAGTTAACAGCTGATAATAAAATATGTATTTTTAGATCAAAATTAAAAGTCACCCATGCATATGACAAGACTGGTTTCAATTATCTCGAACTAAATGGGAGGAAATGGGTTTGAAATACCGATATTTCAAAATAGGAAGGAATTTTATTGTATAAATTTGAAATACATTTATAGTAACGAAATATTGTACATTAATCCTCCATTAGTGCTTAAGGTATGTTCCTAAAATCCCTGATTATTAAAGAATTATATATATATATGTCCGGATGGTCGTAAGTCAAGTGGGTCGTAAGTCGAGGAGTACCTATACTACACTGCTTTGTTTTTCAGAACAGGATACTGCCTTCTGAATTGCCTCAACCGTGTCTGCATTGTCCTTAAATGTCTTCTCATGCTTTGTTTTATAATGTCTCTTTACACTTGATGTCCAGCAAGCAACATTCTCACAATACAGAGCAAACACAGCTCGACCATTCTTTAGAATAAATCCAAAGTCTTTTGTCCAAGAGGGTTGAAACGATTGAACGTCTAATTTGGCTTTCTTGGCATTTGCCATTATGGCTACTTAATTATGAGTAGCTTCTGTCACAGTGGCTGAAAGTGCCTGACGGACTGAATAACCAGTGTTACCACTCAGAAATAGAAACTCCCACAAATAAAAAATCCAGTAGATTGAATACTAATAGAAAGACGATTGTGTAATTTCAATAAAGGTGACGTAAATACATATTCAAAATAATAAAACATATAATTATACTCCAATTTCTTAGATATAGAAAATATCCAAGAAAAAGAACACAAGGCGAGCTACCTATTTTGTGTAGCTAAAATGGCAACGCTAGGTCTGACCCGACACAGACTATAGCCGAGCACACGGGTATTGGACGCGCGAGTTCTAGCTCGAGCTCAGGTCGCAGTTTGTTTATTTGAAATGCCGCTATTATTTTTTGAATTTGTAATGTTTTTAAAATCACCTGGTGTGCCATGGTCAACCCTCCACATACCAACTTGGCACGTGTGACAGGGCTTGCCGACCCCTGCTATATTGTATACCATTTAGTTTCCAAAGGTGCATATAGTACATACCTGAGAACAATGTCTAATTTTCCAGCCACATTCTTCCAATTATTATTTTCATTGAAAGCACTTACAATAGCTAAACTCCGTTTATATGATAATTCTTGTAAAGGAGTATCTGGTTGCAGTTCACTATCTGCCATGTTCACCCTGCTGAAATAAAAGGAAACTTTAGTAAAGGCAGTTTTCTATATACTACAGTACTGTAAATGTCATTTCTCATCATAGTAACAATTATCTCAGCTGCATATACTCAAATGCAGGGGACTGGATATATGTGAAATTTGTAGGAAAGTGAGGCTTTTTCTTAAAGGCATATTTTATCCTAAAAATTGATGATAGCTCTAAAAATCAGTTTTAATTAATATAAAGTAACGGTATTTCTAGTAACGATTTTGAAGTACAGTATATAAACTTTAAACATGAGATTTCAAATATACAGTAAACTGTTTTGTCATAGCTCTCTACACATGCAAATAAAAAAAGCTCAATCATAAAAGCTGGTTGAACTACCTCTACTTACATTATGAAACATTAGCTAACTTTTCATGTTTTCTGTTACAAATTTTTTAACAAATTTCCTCCCATCATGGGTTGGTCCTACATGAATAAATCGGACTGCCAATCACTTCTCGAAGAGTATTTGGTGTCACAAAGTCACAAAAAATTGGAAAACTTAATTTAAACTGAGTTAATAGATCGCGTGCATGTACCGAGGGAGTGAGTAATTACCCAAATGTACCCAAATGAAGTGAACAAATGGGTCGTAAACTTAATTTTTCGATATCCATGAGGTTGTGTTAGGTTAGGTACATGCACTCGATCTATTAACTCAGATGAAATTAAGTTTACCAAATTTTTGTGACTTCATGGCACCAAATACTAGTCGAGGTTAGGTTAGGTACATGCACTCGATCTATTAACTCAGATTAAATTAAGTTTACCAATTTTTTTTTTACTTTATGACACCAAATACTAGTCGAGAAGTGATTAGCAGTCCGATTTATTCATGTAGGACCATTATTTGACTTCATTCCGGCTATATTTGACTACATTTGGGTAATTAGTGGGACCCCCTCCCCGGGTAGTGTCAGCCTCCCTCATCTGTACATGCCTGGTCATTAATGCTACACTGTCTTGTCTGTCTCCACTTGGTCCCCAGGAGGTCTTCTGTAGGCCAGTGTCGGTAACTGTCTTTCCTGGGGCCTTAATGTTCACCCTACACACCACCTTACTAGTCTTAACTCACTGTACCTCGACGGCTCACCTACACAGTAAAAGATTACCACAATATTGACAGATTTTCCTGGTTGAGTGGTGACATTCTTTTACCTTTAGTTTTATCCATAAATATATACAAATGCTGTTACAAAAACAAATGATTCTTGCATACCAACATTAAACATTTCCACCTCTAACCCCTCACACTATTCATACTCAATTTCTGCCCCCTTAGGGTTTTCTACTTTTACTGTTATCCTCTTCACCACTGATAGGCTTGTTAGCCGCCCGGGCGAGCCGTCACGTCTCTGTCAGGCACTGTTGGCATGCACCGGCTCCTGAGTGTACCTGAACCCGCTCCAGTGTTGGTCAAGTCTTGTCTTGAAGCTCACACTCTGTGCTGTTGTAGTGGATTCCTCCCCTACAAACGCTGTTTGTCGCTGAGTAGCCGACCCCGTGAATTCCCCAGTGTATGCCTCGTGGTCTAGGTCAACCAGCGCCGCCATACATCACGGAGGTCAACTACTAAGCCACGCCTACCCCCGCTATAAAAGACCTGACCTCGTGGTGACCTCTCTCTTCTTCTAGCTACTGCCGCAGCCAGCAACACCTCCTCCGCCTGCCTGGCGGCCCTCGCTCCCGCCGGCGAGCATGGCGACCCACAGGCTGGTCCTCCTCTGAGCATCCTCACCAACCAGCTCTCTCTACATCACGCTTGTAACCATGCTGCCACTTCCCAGCACCAAGCTGCATTGTACATCCAATACAACATGTATACAGAGAGCACATTGTGAGTTTCCTTTCTCTATCCCATCCTGAGTGTGAACCAATATCTCTTACCCCACAGTCCTTACCAGCTTGATTGCCAAAATGTATTCACTTTAAGTTATTTACAGCCTCTTCTGCGGACACTGATGACACTATGAACTGATTTACCTAAAATCACAGTACTACACTCCCTGGTTGGCCTTTATCACAGCCGTGACCACAACTTCTTAAACAAAATAAATAAAAGCTTTGTCATATGGCAGCGAGTTTGTGGTTGTAGGCTCTTGGCCTCCCGACCTGCTTGGCTGTTCCTCCAACTCGGTGGAAATTGAGTTTTCAAAAATACAATCGCGTCTAGCATTAAAAATCCTACATCAATTTACACTTTCATATCACTAAGACGATTTTGACGATCTTGTGTATTCGCTTTCCAATTTCTGCTGCTCAACATCGCAGGCCCGAACGCCGAACATGCTTTGTTACAGAGACGCAACACGACCTGACCTGACCCGACCCCTGACTGTACACCGGTATTTCTATTAAATCAAACTGGGCACGACAACCCCCCACCCCCACCTCTAAACGCCAACTATGACACTATAGGAAGGTAAACTGGCAATCCTTGTGATAATTCTTCTTCTTGGGATGAAAGTTGCTTTATGATTTGCCACTCGAGACGCCTCGTTGTGTGCTGACAGCTATGCTGGGGTTATACATGGTGGTATGCGTTCATTTATCCCATCTTCTACCCAAACGTTCACTTTACAATCATGGTTTGATCGCTCCTGTTCTCTTGCATGTAGGGAGAGAAATAGGGTATACCAAGTTAATGAAACTATCACCGTCTCCTATTGCCCACTCCTCTTTCATTACTTCTAGGAATCGTTGTAAGGCTCCTTCGTAGGGCCAAGCAGAATTTTATAAAGAGAAAGACCGCTGACAAGTTTTACCAACAATAAAGACAGTTGAATCTTTCAACATTACTCACAATGGATCTTGAATGGTTCAACTGTAATCAGACATATCTAAGTTGCCTCAACTTGTGCAACCAAAGTTGCAATTTCAAATTCTATGTCATTATACTAAGGAATAACGAAGTATCGGGTGCATTCTAAGATTGAGAGAAAACCGGAGGACGCAGGCGTCCTGTTGCGATGAGAAAACGGACTTCTCAGACGGGGTACTCGAATAAAGAAAGCATAGTTATATGAATCGTTTGATTTTACGTCAACTGACGTGTACGATCGTGGTAATTACACCATGCCCTTTTGTTTGAGCGCCAAAACACAGACAAGCAACATTTAATTCTGGTAATTATTCGTAAAACCAAATGAACCTAACTTAACGATACTGATATCTCAGGATGCATGACTTTTCTAACCTGACTTAACGTTGATTTTAATCGATCCACAAATTGTTTATATCTCCAGTAATACCAATTTGCCCAAGTCATGGTAGCCCGCCGTCAGGTGCCGCAAATTAGAGTCAAGAAGATTCAGAGATGTGTCGCTAGAGAAATTTAAAATAGCTATCCTCTTTATTTTTAAGAAAACGAATTGGTATGATAAAAAACGAATATTTTTATGATAAACACTTATATTTTGTTTAAAGTATATATATATATATATATATATATATATATATATATATATATATATATATATATATATATATATATATATATATATATATATATATATATATATATATATATGTTTCGTTACTATTGATACCCAGATGATGTTTTTGCATCTATAGGAAAACAGTTGTAAAACACATCATTTTAATGATTATCTATAGAGTATAGAGGAGGAAGGTATCTCATTATACAATTGTTTTCACAAAATTAGCAAGAACGTGAAATGTGAAATTTAATTGTTGATTGAATAGTGCAATTACTAACCTTGTACACGCCTAAAGACTTTAGTTGTTGAAGCACAGTAATAACAGTTTATCAACAATAAGTCCTCGGTATTTTCTAGCCCATATGGCGACGGCTTGGAGTCGCTTCCTCGTTAGGTTTGTAACTTGGACAATGACAGGAAATGTCTCATTGATAATATTGCTAACAAACAGTACACCGCGGTGGGAAAGATTGTTCGATGTACGGTCGCAGGTGATTAATGAAGGCTGTATACATTCTCAACCAGAGAGATTAGAACGCTTGCAGTTGCCTAGCTTATACTATAGGCGGGCAAGGGGTTACTTAATAGAAGTCTTTAAACACCTCCGAGTACATTACTCAGCCAAGTGTTCATACCTGGAGCTGGCGGATGTCCGCCCGCTAGGGGTCACAGCCTCAGGTTGAAAAAACACAAGTTCATAAAACTGTCAGGGCTTTTTTTTTGAGTGAGAGTTGTGGACTCTTAGAACAATCTGCCAGAGAGTGTTGTAACGGCACCAAGTGTGAGCTCATTCAAGACGACTTAATCAGAGCTGGCGCAGGTTCCAATACATTCTGGAGCCAGTACATGCCCAGTATTTTCCCACAGTGCGTAACAGAGATCGTGACCCACTGCCCAAGCAACTAATGACCTAATAAGTGGCGAAGGAGATAAAGTATATTGCAATACTTAGGGTGGCAATGGGCTATTCTCGAGGTAAGGATGATAAACCTTTGAGATCCGTCTGTTACAGAAATTATGACTTAACGATTGTTGCTAAATAACCTTACAAATTAATGGGTGTCCATCGTAAAGTGATAGCCTGCTTGCCATTCACAACTGGCACTTTGGTTCCATTCTCGTCTAGGTCAGATGTAAGAACTGAAAAGGATGTTGCCTACAGTGACCTGACTGAACACCGCAGGTTTTCGTCCGGTATCACGGTCTCTCTGCTCCCCCAGTCTTTGCGCTCCTCTGAAAACAGTTAACTTTTACTTTTACTTTTATCCTCTTTGCCACTGATCGGCTTGCTAGCCGCTTGGGCGGTGGGTCACGTCTCTGATACCCACTGTTGGTTAACTTTTACTTTTACTTTTATCCTCTTTGCCACTGATCGGCTTGCTAGCCGCTTGGGCGGTGGGTCACGTCTCTGATACCCACTGTTGGCAAATACTGGTCATGCACTGGCTCCTGAATATATTGGAACTTGCTCCAGTGTTGGTCAAGTCTGGCTTTGAATGAGCTCACACTCGGTGTCGTCACAACGCTCTCCGGCAGAATGTTCCAAGAGTTCACAATTCTCACTCCGAAAATGTTTGTCCTCACAGTTTTCTGGACTTGTGGCTTCTTCAACCTTGAGCTGTGATCCCTTGCGGGGCAGACGTCCGCCAGCTCCAGGTATGTACAATGAAAGACAAAAGTCGTGTCGTGAAAATTGGTGAAAACATATGCCGTAGGGCTTAACTTTAGGTGCGCTCTGCCTTGTGGTCCGGGGCTCTCATAATGTTTCACGAGTTATATTTAATCTTCGGACAGAACCGCGACGCGACTTTTGTCTTTGATTGTACATTTGACCGAGTAGTGCTCCCTGAGATGTTTATACACTTGGAATAGGTTGCCCCTCGCCCGTCTGTAGTATAAGCTCGCAGTCTGAACCTTCCCCTTTTTTTTTTATTTGGGATTAGTCATCCGCACAGCTCACGATCCGACACGAGACCTGGGGCGAAAAACAATAATAATAATAATAATAATTCACAGTAAATAAAATTTATAATAAAAATACAAAAAATAAAATAAAATAATAATGCTAATAATTGCAATAACAACACTGTAATACTAATAATAAAGAACCATAAAGAAAAAAAAATCAATAGCGATAAACAATATATGTATGTTGTGTTGTCAAAGTAAGAGAAACAATTGAGACCCTGCAATTGTGTGTAAATGAGGCAGAAAGTCAGATCAGCAACCTGGGACTTGGTCACAATTTTCGTGATGCCATATGGCGGCAGGGTCTACCATTAGACAACACATTATGTTTCCAATATCTTCCCAGGCGGTAGTACCTCCCTGTTTGATAGCTGCCTACTACCTACGCCAGTTAGGTTAGGTTAAATATTTTATTATTATATAATTCGTATCTGTCAGCGTAGATAATTTTTGTAGTCCAATCCTATCATATCCTATCCTATCCTATCCTATCGTAACCTTATCTAACCTAATTGATCCTAACCTGTCCTGTCATAACTTAGCCTAACTGGCGTAGCTCTCAGATCACACATATATAACGGTCTGAAAGATTCCTGGCATGTAAATAATAATAGTAAGGCGAACGCTCATACTGGGGTAGTTGCCAGACCGCTACACCTGTCCTGTTTCTTCCCATGCTAACACTAGAGTGACTAGACCAATGGGGAACGACACTCATTGGACCTCTAGTGAGACCATTTAGTCGTACTTTTACTTTTATTGTCTTCGCCACTGATCGGCTCATTAGCTGCTTGGGCAGTCGGTCACGTCTCTGTTGTGCACTGTTGGCAAGTACTGGGCATTTACTGGCTCCTGAATGTATCTGAACCTGCA